TTTTCCCCTAATATTTCTTATTTTCTTTATTTAATAAAATTGCAGATTCAAAACCAGACCACTTTTCTTTTGTAAAGTTGATTGCAGCTATTTTATAATTTTTGTTAATACTCACTATACAATTAATTTCACAAGATTTGAAGAAGGGAGTGTTGTGACCAGGTCACACTATGTAGTCTAGGCTGGCTTTGAACTCAGGGGAAATCCTCCTGCCTCAGCCTCCTAAGTGCTGAAATTCTTCCTGCCGTCAAGAAATTTAAGCTAGGGATGGCCAAATAGCTGGATTAAAGTGCTTGCAAGCAGGCACAGGTGCCAGGGGTTCGATAACTGGGCCTGCTGTGCTGGCCCAGCCCCGGGGGTGCACTGAGATGGCAAGTGAGACTGGACATGGTAGTGAGCACCTGTAATCCCAGCACTTGGGAGGCTTTAAACAGGAGAATCACTATGAGTCCAATCTCGTCGTGAAACCCTAAACACTCTGTAGACCCTCCCCTAAAATACAGAAAGAAAATAAAGATATTTAAGCTAATAAAAATGTCTGTGTAAAGATGATTTGATATACAGCCTTTCTCCAGTACTTGCATATTCCTTAATAACAAACTCTCTAGAATACAATAAATACATGTCACTATGTCCTTACATTTTCTAGGTTTCACCTCATGGAAACAGCCATAGTCATTCACAGAATTTTATCTTGGCAAATAAAGTCCTAGAAAAATTCAGAATCTTAAGCAACTGTCCAATCCACACAGCCACTAACATGTGTGGTATTTGTCTGAAATATATTATTTAGTTCTGATTTAGAAAAGTGTAGCAAAAATCTCATCACTGGCAAGCTGGCTTACAGGGAGACAATACAGACAGATACAGATATGCATATGTTATAATGACAAATACATTTTAAATGTTGAAGCATACATTATTTAATTTTTAAAAACATACTTACAAGCTTAATTAAGTATCAATTGATAGGGGCTGGTGAGATGGCTCAGTGGTCTAAAGCACCTACTTAGAACAAGCTTAGCAAAGCACAGGGAC